GGCATCAGTATCCCACACAATCACACTCTAGAATTCGTCTCTTTAAACGGCATGGATACTCTAAATTCGTCACACATCCTCACAGGCGATTCAACCTTAGGTAACCTTAAGTCAAGTTTACAACCTCGACATCTCAACTTCAATCCCTTTCTACACAACGTCCGTTAAGCTCTCATCTACGGCTAAACCCCCACAATGCAGGAGCCCAGATCAGAGTCAAAGATATCCATTATCGCCGCACCTTTCTATATTTCGATAAGCTAGGCACAATCACCTTTAATCGTGTTTCCATCGCCCAAATTACTGCACTACCAACTAGTGTTAGCATGATATTGATAAATGTGACCAATCCAGATGATTGTGTCATCGTGAAGGTGATACAGATTTCTTGTGTGGAATTGGTCAGAATACGTTGTTTATGTGGAAAGAAGGCAGGAGTAAGGTAGCAGTTGTGGCTAGTAGTAATACATCTACGGTAGTAGCCGGTGTTACGCAAGTGCATTTTGGAGAGCTAAAAAAGATGGAAGAAAAATATTGTGGTTGATGGCTAGTGGTGGTGAGTTTCTCTCACTATCTTGAAAGGTCATAGGAGTTAAGACTAGAGATAAATCAATAAATGCTAATATACACGCATACATCTCAAGTCCAAGCTATCAATGGCACTATCACTACTGGGCTAGGGTATCATATGTCGATACTGAGTTTATCTAAAGGGTCACAGAAGGAAAGGAACATTCTAAGTTATGAAACTGCAGACCTTAATATATGTTCCGCTTCCTAGTCATGTGGCGGCTACGATCACCAATCAGTCTTTGATGAATAGAACCTTACTCACATTAGGTATCCCGAGGGTAAATGACCGAGCCAATTTACAATTCAAATGAAACCCAGGTAGTTGGAGAATTAGTGGAGATTGTATAGAATAGCTTCAGAGAATGAGTATTCGTTGTATAGTATGAAGCGGGGGGCCTTCCACTGGTGTAAGTCACAAATATAACTACCAGAACAAGCAGCATTCACCAACAAATACATTATGATATACCAAATACTATTACCTTTCTGCATCTTTAGTCCCAAAAATCGTCATCCAATCAAGTGCACAAATGATCATTCATCTCATCACGCTCATCACGCTCATCCCCATTTTCAATCTTCATCCCTTCCCCCGCCCCATCCCACCCACACAAACACAAAGCTAAGAGTGAACCTATGTCGCCATCCCACCAGCTCTCAAAGATCAAATCCTAAGAATCCCCTTTGAACCTAAACCTAGACATAAATATAAACATATATATCCACTATCTAAATCTATACCGGATATCCAGATCTATATCCATTTCCAATTCTACCGACTTATCAAAAAGAGAAAGCGAAAACCTTGGCCA